GCAGTCCCTGATGCAGAGCCCCTCTCCAGCATCCTTGTAGCCCCCTTCAGACACTGGAGCTGCTCTGAGGTCTCCAGGCAGGTTCTCGTCTCCAGGCTGAGCAGCCCCAGTGTCCTCAGCCTGGCTCCATGCAGGAGGTGAGCACAAAGCCTCCTGAACAGGGGTCACCACCAGGATTTTAGGGCCTGTCCCACTAGAGCCAGGACAGGAGCACAGGGGCAGCGGCCGCCCTGCAGTGCAGATGTGTGCCCTTCGCTGGCCCCAGCTCTGCCGCTGTCCCCTGCTGCCTGCTGCTTAAGTTACTGCTTTAATTCATGCTGTCCCCATTCCTCTGAGCCCGTCTGCAGAGGGAGGCGAGTCATTTGATAGCCCTGGAGATGGGGCTTTGACAAGTGGCTGCCCAGCAAGCAGCAGCTCTCTCTGTGCGGGTTCTATGTGATACCATTCCAGGCTGAGGTCACTGTGAAGGCTTGCTGCCTGGGAGGGAGGGAGGGGAAGGAGCTCCTCGGTGTTCTGTCGTGGTTGGAGAGCTCACCTCAATCTCCCCTCTGGCAGCTCAGGGGAAAGAAGAACAGGGATGTAAGGAAATAAGGGAAAGAAAGCTGAGGAGCAGGTGGAAGGTTGGATCCCAGGGTAAAAACCCCCCCATGGGCTAGGTAGCAGGGAGCTGAGGCAGCTCAGGTTGGGTCAGTGGTGGGGCTGATGCTCCTCTGCTGTTCCTCTGCCTCTGCTCGGCCCCACGGCCCAGTGGGGATGTGAGCAGCTGAGTCCCATCCTCCTGCTGGTTTGAGCTCTGCTGCTCACTGAGCAGATCACTGCTGGCTCTTTCCTCTTCCAGCACTCGTTGTCTTCTCTCCTTAGGGTGGCAGCTTTGGGGGCAGAAAGCCCATTCCATGCACCAGGGCCCCGGAGCTGCTGGGTGCCCCCGGTGCCTGTTTGCAGCACAGGGATGTGCTGGTGGGAATCGTCCATCCCCTCTTCTGCAACACAGACACTCAGATTTGTTCCCTTCTCCTCCAGGTAGGTCAGGAGATGCCCACAGTAGCGTGTGGCTGTGCTGAGCTCTCCACCAGGGGCATCTGCTGCCTCCCTGCACAGCGATGCCTCCCGTTTGTCACTGGGAAAGGGAGAAAGAAGCCTCAGAGGAGGCCCCGTGCTCTGGATCCCAGCGGTGTCTGCAGCACTTCCAGCCCTGCCAGCGTTCCAAGCCTTGCGCCAGGAGGGTGACAATTAACTTGTAATGGGACACTTGGGTCCGGGCAGCTCAGCATGGAGACACCTCCCAGCACAAGCTGGTTCTGCAGGGAGCCTCTGGGTGCTGGGGACAGAGCTGTGGGTGCTTGGGGTGTTCTCCATCGCTGACGCTGGACTCAGCGCTGCTGAGCTCCTGCCTCTGCCAGCCATGGAGTCATGGAGTCATGGAATCCCAGCCTGGGCTGGCTTGGAAGGGCCCTTAAGGCTTCATCATCGCAGTGCAAGGGGCAGCTCCATGGAGCCAATGTGACAATTGTCTCTGTTGCCTCCTGTGTGTTTCAGCTTCAATAGATGGGTGCTAAATGGGTTCATCCCTCGGTGCAGAGCCCAAAGCCACCTCCCAACGTGCTCTGTTGTGGCTGCCCCATCCCTGGCAGTGCTCAAGGCCAGGTTGGACACAGGGGCTTGGAGCAAGCTGCTCCAGGGGAAGGGGTCCCTGCCCTGGCAGGGGTTGGAGCTGGAGGAGCTTTAAGGTCCCTTCAACCCAAACCATTCCTTGATTCTATGAAGCTGGGCACGAGTGATCCCAGTGAGCCCTGGCTTTCCTCAGCTGCTTCTTGTGCATGTCTCTACTGGACTCGTGTGTTCCCCTCTTTGTCTGTGGGTTAAATGAGTTCCAGCATCTTCTTTCATTACTTTGTGGGCTGGTTTTTTCCACTGGACTTGCTCTTTCCTGCTGCAGGAGCCGGGCAGAGCCTTGGTGGTTTTGCTCCTCCGTAGGGATTTGTTTTGCCAAGGGAGAGGGCGAGGGTGGCAGGGAGGATACAGTTCGCCTTCTCTTAGGAATGCAGGGCTGTGGCCTGTTTGAGGTGCTCTAAACGGAGCTGACTCTGCTGTGGGAGTAGCAAGCAAGCTGTAAAGAACCTCACTGGGTTTTGTGTTTGTCTCGGGGGGGGGTGTGTGGGGTGGAGGCTGCAGGACTTCGGGATAATTCCCCATTTGGAAGGATTTAAAGGCTGAAGAGCAGAATGGAAAAGGCAGGGATGTGGAGCCCTATGGGAAAGCTGGTGTTCAGCAGCAGAGGATGTGTTTGGGCAGACTGGTACCCGTCAGCTTCGTGTGCAGATCCCCAGTGGGGTCCAGCAAGGGAAGGAGCCTCGGGTTCCCCCTTTTGCTGCAAGTTATCCTGGGGCTGAAGGGATGAGGTGAAGGAGCCGTGGGGTTGAGGAGGGATGCACGGGAGCCCTCCCCTGCTCCTCTCCCACTCCCAGCTGGAGCAAGGAGCCCTCTTCCTGGCGCCCTTCTTCCCTCTCTGCACACATCCCAGTGCTGCCTCTCCCCGAGCCGCCCTCCTGCTGCACTGCCTCTGCACAATGGGGCTTTCATTCCCCGCAGCCCTCCGGTGGGCTCCGGGCAGCACGGGGAGGGAGCAGGAGCCCCCCTGAGCCCCTGCTCTGGGAAGGGAAGCAGCAGAGGATGCAAAGCGTGGCTTGGGAGCAGCCCTCTGGGGGGTGTGGGTCTCATCCCTTGGGATCAGCTCTCTGTGGCTGGAGCAGGCTGGATGGGGTGCTCTGGGTGATGCTCTGTGATGGGAGCGGGCACAGCACCAGAGCCCATGGGTCCCGTGCACCTCCCCACTGCCTGACCTCAGCTCGGAGCTATCTAGGGCACATGGGGACTGCCAGCGTCCCTGTAATTAACCAGGGATGGGAAGTGAGGGGTTGATTCCTGCCTCCTCCGCTGGCGCTCACGTGTGCCTGAGCCCTGTTCCTGCCCTGCTGAGCTCTGGTGGGTGCCAGGTAACAGCCACCCATTGCAGGGCAGTCCTGAGCCTCGCTGGGCCGTGACGCCCAGCGCTAGCACCAGGGCTTTGCTCTGCCACTGCCCTGCTTCAGGGGGTTGGGTTCAACCCCTCGGGGTGTCCCCTGCCAGCAGGGCACCAGAGCCTTGTTCTCACCTCCCACCCCGCTTCAGAGGGCTGAGTCACTGACCTGGGTTAATGATTGACTTGCGTGCCTTGCCTTGCGCACCCTCACATCTGCCCCGGTTCCAAGGGGCTGTGTCCCCAGCTGGATGAAGATGGGCAAACCCTGCCTCTTCCCTGGAGGAGGCTGCGCACCACCAGCGTGTCAGCAGCCATCCCAGCGCTCACCCAAGGTGTCCAGGCTGGACACCCCAGCAGCGTGTGGCTGCCTCCTTCCCCCTGCTCCTGCAAGCAAAGGGCTCCCGAGGTTCCCGGTGAGCTGAATGCTTCCCTGGGAAAGGCAGCCCCTGCTTGCAGCCTGCCCAGGCTCCCTGCAGGCAGCAGGGCGCGAGGTGGCACTTGGGAGCTTGATCCCACTCCCGTTGGGAAGCTCGAGGTTCAACAAGGGCTGCTCCTGGCTCGTGCCTCGACGTGCACTGGGGGGAAGCTGCGGGACTTTGTCTTCCTGCCTGACTGGGGTGGGAGCGTGGGGATGGGGATGGAGCTGGTGCGGATGGCACGGTCCCTCCTGAGATGAGACCTCCCGCTTTAATCAGAGCCAGCAGCAGAGAACCTCCATCTCATTCCTCCCCAGCAGGGCACCAGCAGCAGGCCTTGGGTGTCAAAAGGAGGATTAAATCAGGCTGAAGGGGGGGGTTCTTACCCCCTTCCCATCCCTCTGCCCCAGAGAGGAGGGTGTTCAAGCCTCCCAAATCACTGCGGTGCTCAGTGCCTCGAGGCCAGGTTGGACACAGGGGCTTGGAGCAAGCTGCTCCAGTGGAAGGGGTCCCTGCCCTGGCAGGGATTGGAACTGGAGGAGCTTTAAGGTCCCTTCAACCCAAACCATTCCATGGTTCCCTAAAAGGTTTCCTCCCCGAGTTTCCTCAAAAGAAACCAGGAACCACGATATCCCCGTGGGAGCAGGATTCCAGAGGAAAAAAGCCATGATAAAATCAGGTATTTGATGTTGAAGTAAACAGCCCTGCATTGTTCATCCCGACTGGAGGTTTGACTGCAAACACCACAGATCCTGGCACCGAGTGCCTGGGAGCCAGCACTTGCTTCCTGCACCTCTTCTGATCTCTCTGTGGGCAGCCTGATGTCCACTTGGACCAGTCTGGAGCAGGATGAGCTCTCCTTTGGGCTGGTGTGTGCTGCAGGCGTGGGGCTGGGAAGGACACGTTGGGTTGGGTTGGGTTTAACAAAGCCCTTGTCCTCTTTGAGCTTGGGCAGGGGGATGGTGAGGTTTGGAGCAAGTGGCATCGCCCCTTAACCCTGGCTTTAGAGCAGGCCTCAGAGACGCTCTGATGGATGGATTCAAACCCTTCTGCACCTCTCTGTATCCTCCACTTCCAAAGAATCCCGGCCCAGATCCCGAGCTCCTCCTGCATTCCCCTCGCAGGGATGGTCCAGGGCTCTGGGAGGCCCCTGCTCCTGTGCTGGCTGCTCTGAGCACTCTGCTCATTCCCTCTTTACTTGCATCTTGCCATGTGTGAAACCAGAGCCTTGGCTCCCAATGGAGTCGAGAGATGATTCTGCTGCTGGGGTTTTCCAGCCAGCGCTGGAGCTGGGAGGAAGGGAAGGAGCTCCTGCAGGTTCTGGTGGGTGAGGAGTACCCTGACTCAGGCGTGCACTGGGAGGGGAGGGATGCTCCCAGTGGGAGCGGGGCAGGGTTAGCAAAGAGCCCCATCTTTCTGGTGTGTTTTGAGCTGTTCCTGCCGCCTCCTTTCCCTTGCAGGTGCCCTCTGGACCCTCTCTGTCCCGGAGTCACTCCTCGAGCTGCAAGGAGCTGTGGGCAGTTGGTACCGTGCCTGATCCCTTCTCCCGTGTTCTTTCTCTGCAGCTGGTCAGTGAGAAGGTTGGAGGGGCCGAAGGGACCAAGCTCGACGATGACTTCAAGGAGATGGAAAAGGTGAGTAGGGAACAAGAGAGAGGTTCTGCAGGCACCCAGGTAACTCCTCTGTGAGCCTGCCAAAGCCCCGAGCTGCTCCTCACTGCTGCTGGGTCTCCTTGTCCTCCCTGCAGAAAGTGGACCTGACCAGCAAGGCAGTTACAGAAGTACTGACCAGAACAATAGAGTACCTCCAGCCAAACCCAGGTGAGTGCCTGCACCTCTCTGGGCCCCTTCCCTTTGCCACAGGGTTCCAGGGCAAGAGGCAGAGAGGGAAGAGAGCCACCAGAGGGAACCTTTTCCCCTTAGACCTGCAGAGGTGCTGGAGGGGACCTGTTTTACCTGGGCTATCCAGGAAGATCAGCATCTCTGGGCTGGGAAGGGCTGGCTGGCTCTGCAGGCATCACCGCTGGAGCCTGCTGCACTGCGTGCTTCCAGCCAGCTCCTTCAGAGCACGCCGGGGACTATGGCAGGGCTGGGGAACTCCTTTGGCCTCGGTGCTGAGCGCTGGGGAGCTATTTTTGCTCTCTTGGAAAGGAATCCTCTCTTTTCCATCGTGAACAATGTCTGGGAGCTGCAGGCAATGGCGCTTCTTGGCTTTGGGTGTAGCTTGAAACCCAAACCTGCTGGCAGCAGCCAGCAGCCTCTGGCAAGCACAGGGAGCTGCAACCACGGCCGTGGCTGTTTGTGTGCCAGCTTCCAGGGCCAAGCTGACCATGCTGAACACCATGTCCAAGATCCGCGGGCAGGTGAAGAACCCCGGCTACCCGCAGTCGGAGGGGCTGCTGGGGGAGAGCATGATCCGGTACGGCAAGGAGCTGGGCGAGGACTCCAACTTCGGTGAGTGCCCATGTGCATGGGGCTCCCTTGCTCTGTGCCAGGCTCAGAGGCTTGCTCCAGAGAGGAGCGGGGGGCACTGGGTGGCCAGCACCCACTGGGCTCTCTCTGACTGACTGACCCCTTCCTCTTCCTCTTCCTCCTCCCTTCTCCCCCCCCGGCAGGCGATGCGCTGCTGGATGCTGGTGAATCCATGAAGCGCTTGGCTGAGGTGAAGGACTCGCTGGATATTGAAGTCAAACAGAATTTCATTGATCCCCTCCAGAACCTGTGTGACAAAGACCTCAAGGAGATCCAGGTAACGCTGCCACGGGTCGCTCTGCTCCTCAGCTCTCTTGTTGCTCGCCTCTTCTGGCTGTTAGCACATCCAACACTGTCTGTCATGGTGAGGACCAAGGACTCACAGGGGCAGCAGGTTCCCTGCACTGTGTGTGCTGTCTCTCTCCACACTCACCACTATTCCGTCCCTGCTCAGCGCTGCTGCTGCTTCTGAGCAGCTCCTAAGGCTGCACTTGGGTGGTTCTTCACTCCCTGGTTTATGGAGGGTACATCCCAACCTGTGTTCTGGCCTTGCTGAATTTGGTTCTTTGTGCTGGGAGCTCCCGGCCCCGTTGCACTGGTGCTGCCTGGCATTATCCTGCACAGTGTTCTTTACAGCTCTTGGCTCTGTTCTGTCAGGAGCCTGGATGCTGTAACACAACCTCCAAGCTAGGACCAGGGAAGCCCTCTGGGTCTCTCATGCAGCATCCCAAGCAGGTGTCTCACTGGGGAGACGTGGAGCTTGGTAGCTGCTGTGTGCTGCCACAGAGACAAGTCTGTGCAAAGCACAGCCAGGCTTTGCAATAGGATTCACCCCAACCTGTGCAGCACCAGGCAGCTCTCTCAAGTGCGTTTTCACTTCGAGCTGCCCCAGATGGGAGCTGCCAGCTCCTGTTGCAGGACTTACCGGTGCTCCAGTTCTGTGGAATGGAAACAGCCCTGCCCTGAGCGCTTGGGATGCAGGGCCCAGAGCCTGCCTCCCAGTTCCTCACCTCCAGGCGTCCCCCCAGCTCTGGGCAAGTGCAAGTGGCACTGGAGCTCCTCGCCATGCAGAGGGGTTTGAAGGGGAGCACTCCCTGCCCTGCTCTCCTCCAGCTCTCACTGGAAGGAGGTGAAATGATCTCCATTTGTTGAGGGCTCAGTGCAAAGCCCCTGCAGCCACAGCAGTCAGACCTCTGCCAGGCGGGGCTGGGACCACTCCTCCCTGCCTTGCAGCTCTCCGGGGCCTCTGCACCCTCTGGGAGCTGCAGGAGCTGTGCTCTGGGGTCAGCTCTGGGAGGCCTGAACCTGGCCGGTAACCAGAGCTGCCTGCCCAGCAGCAGAGCTCGGCTGCTCCCAGCCCCTGCCTTTGCTTCTGTGCCTTCACTGTTGATCCCCACCTGCTCCCAGCACCACCTCAAGAAGCTGGAAGGGAGGCGCCTGGACTTTGACTACAAGAAGAAGCGGCAGGGCAAAATCCCCGATGAGGAGCTCCGGCAGGCCATGGAGAAGTTTGAGGAGTCCAAGGAAGTAGCAGAGACCAGCATGCACAACCTCCTAGAAACTGATGTGAGTGCACGGGGGAGCTGCGTGCTCCTGTGCACACGAGGGTGGGATCTCCCCAGGGGGACACAGGGTAAAGGGATGCTCGTTTCCACTCTCATTTGTGCAGGTGTGGGTTTGCTCTCTAAGCCAGCTCTGAGGGCCCAGCACATGGCTTTGCTGGCCTCTTGTCCCTTTGGAAGCCTCTCTTCCTGATGAGGCTCTTGGCCAGGGGAGAGGCTGTGGCTTGTGTCTTCAGTGGGGCTGGGCAGGTAAAGCAGGTTACTTGGGAAGGGTTTGAGGCCAGAGAGCAGCAGGAGCTGCCCAGGCTGAGGCTTGGCCGTGCCTGAGCTCTGCTGTGTGGAATCACAGCCCTCTCGTCCTGTCCCGGGGGGCTCAGTGGGGTCTCAGCCCCCATGTGCAGTGCAGAGGCTCCTGGCACCCGGAGCTCATGCTCTGCTGTGGTTCCTCAGATCGAGCAGGTGAGCCAGCTCTCAGCCCTGGTGGATGCTCAGCTGGATTACCACCGCCAGGCAGTGCAGATCCTGGACGAGCTCGCCGAGAAGCTCAAGCGCAGGTGAGTGCTGGGGGCACCAAAGCCCTGTCTGTGATCCCTGACCCTCCCTCTGAAACAGGGCTTGGAAGGGACCTTAAAGCTCCTCCAGCTCCAACCCCTGCCAGGGCAGGGACCCCTTCCACTGGAGCAGCTTGCTCCAAGCCCCTGTGTCCAACCTGGCCTTGAGCACTGCCAGGGATGGGGCAGCCACAGCTTCTCTGGGCACCCTGTGCCAGCGCCTCAGCACCCTCCCAGGGAAGAGCTTCTGCCTCAGAGCTCAGCTCAGTCTCCCCTCGGGCAGGTTCAAGCCATTCCCCTTGCCCTGTCCCTACAGGCCCTTGTCCCAAGCCCCTCTCCAGGTTTCCTGCAGCCCCTTGAGGCACTGGAGCTGCTCTAAGGGCTCTGTCCCCTGGTGTTAAAGCCGCTGGAGCTTCAGTCCAGAGCTCCTGCAGGCTGCACAAGCTGCTTTCAATGCCAGGAGCACTGTGACATCTGAAACAAACCCTCGGTGCTCGTGCCATGGGCACTGGGCTGAGCCCTGCCTGAACCAGGCTGTGCTGCTCCCAAGGAGGCTGGAGTGGAACATGACGAGGGTGGAGAAGGGTGAATCCCCTTCGTGCCAGGCCTTGGCTCCTGGCACTGTGGGCGTTGATGCTTTCGGCCCAGCCCAGCTGGAGTCAGAGGCTCCATCATGCCCTTGAGCACATGGCTCAGGTGTCCCAGGCTGCACATACCTGTCACCTGCTGTCACCGGGGCTGCCTCGCCTGCAGCCTTTGTGCCATCGGTTCCCTTGTGATTAGGGAGGGTTCCTGGGCAGTGGCCATCGCTGTGGCTCAGAAGGGTCCGTGGCAAGAGCTCCCGGGTGCTCTGAGGACCAGAGCTGAATGCAGGGGATGATGGGGTGGCCATGGGGTGGTGGAAGGGCACCAACACCACGTCCTTAAGGGCAGGCATCTGTGTGCCTGCCACCAGGCCCCTCTGTTGCCAGCAGGCCCTGCTCTCCCTCTGTAACAGAGCCCAGCAGTGATGCTCTCGGTGCTCTGCCTCCCTGAGCAAGCATCTCCCTGCTCCCTGCGGGGAAGGGGAGGCGGCTCCACTGAGGCTCCCTGCGGAGCCCGGTGCAGGGGGCCGGGGCCAGGGCAGCCCCTCCTCGGGGCGCTGCTGAGCGGAGCCTGGCTCCGGTTTGAAGGCGGAGCTGGGAGGACCCGGCCGAGGGGAGCTTCCCAAGTGCAGCTCGAGTGGCCCCTGCTGGCCTGCGCTGGCCCCGGAGCAGAGCCCGGCCCGTGCGGCCCTCGCTGAGGGCAAGGTCCCAGGCCCTGGGCTGGAGCCACCCTGAGCACAAGAGCCTTGTGCAGGTTCCTGTCCCCAGAGCCCTGTAGCCCGCCCCTCGCCGGTCCCATCACACTGATCCCCATCTCGGGTTATCCCGTTCCTTCCTGCAGGATGAGGGAGGCCTCCTCGCGTCCCAAGCGGGAATACAAGCCCAAACCCAGGGAGCCGTACGACTTTGCAGACACTGACCAGTCCAACGGGGGCTTCTCCTGCAATCCTGCCCCCAAAGTCTCAGGTAAAGCTGTCCCATGGCTGTGCACACCCCGCTGCCTCTGGAGGGCACCCACTGTGCCTGGGAGTGAGGTTCCTGGCTGTACCCGCACAGGCTGGAGGCTCTGTCAGTGCCTCTGCACTGGGGCTCTTCTCTCCTGGGCCCAGCCTTTGTTAGGTTGGCTTTGGGGATGCCTCCAGGTTTGCCTGGGGGTCTCCAGCCCGGTGCTGCCCAGTCAGGTGGCAGCCAGGAAAGCTGAGGCATCTCTTGCTCCCTCCCCGTCTTCCATCGCTGCCTTCATCCCTCCCTGGTCCCAGCGGTACAGGCGGGCTCCTAACACAGCATGTGGGCTGCTGTTTGCCCTAACAGCTCCTCCCTCTGGGCCCTGCCTTTCCCTCTGCCACTTCACCTGGTTTAAGCATGTCTCTTTTTGTTTGGAAGCAGCTTCCTCCTCTTTCCGGTCCGACAAGCCGTCCCGGGCCTCCGTCAGGAGTATCCGTGAGTGTCCTCCCTGTGCACTGCATGTGTGGGACCGTCTCTCCCCATCCCTCCTCGTTCCTCCTGCCCTGCTGCTGCTGCTGCTGCTTGGAGCTGCTGCTACCCCTGTGCTGAGCCCCACAGGAAACCAGCACCGTTAGACTGGGACTGAGCCCCCCAAGCTGGGGGCTCTGCTCACCTGCAGGAGTTAGAGCAGCTCCCATCAGCCAGGCTTGTCCTGCCTGAGCCCGCAGGGAGCAGAGCCTCTGTTGGGGTTGTGAGCACCCAGCCTGGATCCCTCCCCCTCCTGCCCATGCTGCCCATCCGTACCCACTGTGGGAGCTGGAGGGAGCAGGTAGAGCCTCGGCACACGGAGCCCATCCCGTGCTCTATGGTGCCAGCAAGGAGCCTCGGAGGGGCTGTGGGGTGATGCGGGGTCTGTGGGGCAGAGCCGTCGTGGTGGGGCAGGCTTGGGGTGGAGCAGCACGGGGCCAGGAGGACTTGGGGGCCTGGTGCAGGGAAGCGCTGTGGTGGTGGGACCAGGCTGGTGCTGTGGAGGTTGTCTCTAAGCCACTGGCTTGGCTGCTGCTTGGGGGGTTTGGAGTTCCCTTCAGTGCTGGGGCTGTTCCACAGGGATGTGCTGGCTCTGCCCCTCGCCCTGCTGTGCGCACCGAGCCCCAGGGCAATGGGGAGGGACTGGGGGCTCTCTGTTAGCTCAGTCCCTCCTCAGTGGGACCCCGACACCCAGAGCCCATCCCCGAAGGTCAGGGCAGGGCAGAGCAAGCGGCAGCTTTCCCTTTGCAGGCTGCTTAAACCATGGGGCTGGGATGGGGAAGGAGCCTGGGGTTTGCTCCCCACTCCTGGGGGTCTCAGCACTGAGCTGGATCTGAAACCCTGCACCAGGGGGGAGTCACAGAGGGACCCCCAGGGTCCTGCTCCACCGCGCACCCATGCCTGATAACCCCATTGTCAAGGGCTGGAGTGCACAGAGGGCTTGAACCTGCCCGAGGGGAGACTGAGCTGAGCTCTGAGGCAGAAGCTCTTCCCTGTGAGGGTGCTGAGGCGCTGGCACAGGGTGCCCAGAGAAGCTGTGGCTGCCCCATCCCTGGCAGTGCTCAAGGCCAGGTTGGACACAGGGGCTTGGAGCAAGCTGCTCCAGTGGAAGGGGTCCCTGCCCTGGCAGGGGTTGGGGCTGGAGGAGCTTTAAGCTCCCTTGATCCCAACCCAGGCTGGGACCCTCCCATCCCCGGAGCACCCCGGTGCGGTTCCACCGCCTGGTTCCCAGTGAGGAGCTGGGTTCGGGTGCTGGAGGCGGGGCTGCGCTGGGAGGAGCTGGAGAGCAGAGGGCAGCGGTGAACCCCGGTCCGGCCGGGCCTGGCCATGGCGGGGGCTGCATCCGGAGGGGCAGGAGCCCCCCTCCCGGTCCCTGCTCACCGCAGCCCCCGTTCCCCGCAGCGCCCCTGGACCAGCCCTGCTGCAAGGCTCTCTACGACTTCGAGCCCGAGAACGACGGCGAGCTGGGCTTCAAGGAGGGCGACATCATCACCCTCACCAACCAGATCGACGAGAACTGGTACGAGGGGATGCTCAGCGGCCACTCCGGCTTCTTCCCCCTCAACTACGTGGAGGTGCTGGTGCCGCTGCCGCAGTGAGCGGCGCCCGTCCCAGCTCCATCCCTGCGGCTGCGGCGGCACCGGGGGGCAGAGGGGCGCCGGGGCCAGGCCCCCCCCGGATCCGCTGTTCCTCGCTCCTGGTGCTCGACCGTCGGTACTCTGCGCCCCCCAGGATCGGCACTGGCCTCTCCCCCTGCCCTCTGCTTGCCTTCCCCTCGGGTCGTGCATCCGGATGGCAGAGCCGGGTGCAGCATCAGCGCCATGGCCCGGTGCTGGCGAGCACAGCACCCCCAGCCTCAGCGAGGGGCAGGACCCTCACCCCTCCCCATTGAACACTACCCCTCTCCCCATGGATGCCCAGCACCCCAGGACCCCGGCTCTCCCTGGGGCTCAGGGCAGGGATGCGGGGGCACAGCAACACTACGACCCCCATCGAACACTAAACCAGCCCCACGGGGCTCTGTGCCACCCCTCCCACCCCAGAGGGGCGCAGCAGGGACCCCTCTGCCCCCCCCAAGTGGGTGCCTGCTCCCTTCGGCCCCGGGTTTGAAGGATTTTGAGCCGAATCGCTTCTGCATCTTGGGCTTTTCCTCCGGGGATGATGGGGCAGGTCCTGGCTCCTGTCCCTTACAGGCACCTCTGCCCCCGGAGCCATCAGCACCCATGGGTGCTGCAGGACCAGAGCTCAGCTGATCCTCACGTGCCTTTCCTGAGCCGCCCCCATCCTCTGCCCCATAGAAACCCTCCTTATGGGGGGCAACGAGCCCCTCGGTCACTGGGCTTGGGGGGAGGAGGGACCGTACATCCCGGTGCTGCTCCTGCCGCCCCATAGCCCTGGTTCTGTGTTGGGGGGGTCAGGACGGGGCCTGGCAGCGCTCCCCCCATCCCCACTCCTGCTTTTCCTTGCTACAAGCGGTCTGTTCCCCCTTCCCCTCCCTGCCTGACCCCATCCCTGCTCGGCTGGGGACCAAGCTCCGCACCAGGCCCTGTCCCCGCTGCTCCCATCCCATTCCCGGTGTGAGCCCCGAGTGTCCCTACCCACGTGCCCCCGCCCCGCTGGGCTGAGCACTGGGCCCATGCCAGGGATGGGGGGCACAGGGAGAACAGGGACCGGTGTCGTGGGGGCGCTGCCCTCTGCCCCTGCCGTGGGTGCTGCTCTCGGGGCTGAGCTGCGTTCTGGGGCAGCCGCTTCTCTTCCCCTGTGGATTTTTGTAATGGTTTCTCCTGGTTTCCAGGGGAAGGAAAAGAACCCCCGGAGCTCCCCTTGTACCTGATGGAAGTATTAAATGTCCTCTTCTTTCTACTGCCTGCGTCCTCTGGGAGTGAGTGCTTGTGAGCGGGGGCACCGCGGTGCGATGGAGGATGAAGGCTCCCCCACTGAGCATCCCCCTGCCCGGTGGCTGCAGCCCCTGAGCCCCCTCCCCATGGGCAGGGTGTCCCCGCAGCAACGCAGCTCTCAGGATCCGCGCTTTAATCAACGACCGCTTCCACACACACCGACAGCCGGGGCTCCACCAGCCCCACGGCACCTCCAGGGCAGGGCAGGGGGTGCCGGGAGCCCCCCGCTGAGCCCCCCAGGGTGGGCGCTGCCCCACACCGGGTCTGGCTGCACCCCACGGGCCGGGGGCTGCTGAGCCGAGCTGCGCCCGGCGCCTGCTCCGAGTCGAGGGGCTCCTGCTCCCTCAGCCGCTGAGCTTGAGCAGGCTGAGGATCTGCTCCAGGACGTGGCTGCAGCTCTGGTCCTTGGGGGTGCGGGAGGCCAGCGAGCCCTGACGGGGGGGGCGCAGCCCAGTTAAAGGGGGGGCTGGAGGTGATGCCCTGCTTGAAGCCCCCTGCTCACCTTCAGCTTGTCCAGGTAGGTCTGATCCTGGCTCCAGAGCTCCTGGAACTTCACCAGGTCGGGGGCTCCCTTGTAGAAGTCCACGAGCAGCGTCTGGGATGCGGGGAGAGAAGGGGCTGAGGCGCGGGGAGCTCGGCACCGCGGTGGGGATGGGGAAGAGGCGCCAGCTCCTCACCATCTCCTGCAGGACATCGTTGGTGAGGAACCCGTCCTGGATATAGGCCACCTCCACGTCCATGGGGATGCCGTAGTCATTGGGCCGTTGCTGGAGGAAGGGGCAAGTTGGGAGGGGGTCATCCCACAGCACTGGGGCCACCCCTATCCCAAACCCCCCCCGTGGGGCCAGCGACCCCTTACCTCGGGGGGTGGCATCACCCAGAAGGGTGCGATTTTGGACTCCATGCCGGGGTTCCCGTGGTAATAGGGTCCTATGGGGGGGGGGCAGAGATGGGGCTGGCTGGGGGCGACGGCAGCCGCAGCTCCCCCCCGCGGCCGTGGGGCCGGGTCTCACCGCAGATGAGGGCCAGGCAGGGCTGGAAGCCGTTGCCGCTGCCCTGCAGCTTGAGCTGGTAGTCCATCTGCGCATCGATGTCGTGCAGCGAGGGCAGCGCGGGGCCGAAGGGGTGGCTGTGGTACCAGCCCACCAGCGACAGCCCCCGCAGGAACAGGCTCTGGCAGATCTATGGGGGGGGTTGATGTGGGGCTGGACCCACTGAGAGCCCCGGGGTGTGTGCATGGGGTCGGGGCGGTTTTACCTCCTCCTCCACGGCACCGGCGGCCTCGGCATCGCCCAGGCGGGTCCGGCAGGGGAAGGCTCGCAGCACCGTCAGCACTGGGGGGACACGGGGTGGGTGGTGATGGAGCGGGCGGGGTGGGGGCACCCATTCACACGTGCACCTACATTGGGTGTTGGTGTCCCAGCGCCCGCCCAGGTAGCCCACGACTTCGCTGCGCGTCAGGTGGCTGTGGAAATCCTGCGGGAAACGGTGAAAATGAAGAGTTTGGACCCAAAATGGCACCGGGGACACGGCAGGGACATCAGGGTCAGATCCACGGAATGGGCTGGGTTGGAAAGGGCCTTGAAGCTCATCCAGTCCCGACCCCTGCCCGGGCAGGGACCCCTTGTCCCATCGCCCCAGTCCCTGCGGAGCCCCGTCGGGACGCACCAGGAGCAGGAGGACGTTGCTGGAAATGGCCACGTTGAAGGGCTGGAACTTGTTGATGGCGGCGAAGGACGTCACCTCCACCAGGGTCTGCGGGTTCCTGCAAGAGCCGCGGCCGCCTCTGTCCCTGCACAGCCCCACGGTGCCCCCATGGGTCCCGCTGCCCCCGTACCTGGCGGAGTCGCGGGTGCCCAGGCTGCAGTACCGCACGGGCGCGCGGGCTTTGCCCTCCATCCTCTTGGCCGGGGCTCCGTGCTCTGCGATGCACAACGCCCATCACCGCTGCTGCCGGCCCGGGGCCCCCGCTGCCCCCCCATCACCTCACCCGTCCCCGCCGGCTCCACCGCGCTCTTGCTCTGCTGCTTCTTGCTCCTCTCCTCCGGCTTCTTGGCAGGCACCGGCTCCGGCACCGGCGCCCGGCCCTCGCGCGCCGCCTCCTCCTCTTCCTCCTCCAGCACCTCCTCATCCTCGCCCTCGCTGGCCAGGCTCTGCGGGCAGCACCGGGCTGGCCCCACCGCACCCCCGCACCCCGGGGGGGGCACCCAAAGGGGGTCCCTCCCAACGCACCTCGTCGGCGGGCGGCGCGTTGGGCTGGTGCTGCCGCAGCCACGCGGCTTTGTACTGGTCCAGCTTCTGGCCCTTGTAGCGCACGGAGGCCCAGCCACAGCCGGACTTCTTGGCAGGGTTCACCAGGCGCTTGCAGTGCGTGGCCCAGGCGCTGGGCGAGTTGAAGACCTGCCCGGTCTCCTGCCACGTGATGGTGCCGTCGGCACCCAGGTCCCCCACGAACTTCTTGCCCTGGGGAGTGTGGGGTGAGACCAGGAGGGACCAACCAGTGCCCTCTCCCCAGCCCTGTCCCCATCCTTGTACCCATCCCTAACCCTCATCCCTATCCCCATCCCTCTCCCCACCTCATGTCTCCATCCCTGTCCCTATGCCTCTCCCCAGCCCATGTCCTCCATCCCTGTCCCCATCTCTGTCCCCATCCCATGTCCTCCATCCCTGTCCCTATGGCCTCTCCCCACCTCACATCCTCCATCCCTGTCCCCATCCCTGTCTCCATTCCTTACCCTCATCCCTGTCCCCATCCCTGTCCCCACCTCATGTCCTCCATCCCTAACCCTCATCCCTGTCCCCATCCCATGTCCTCCATCCCTGTCCCTATGGCCTCTCCCCACCTCACATCCTCCATCCCTGTCCCTATGGCCCCTCCCCAGCCCATGTCCCCTCTCCCGTCCCGTGTCACCAGGTAATAGATGGAGAGGACGCCGCGGGCCGGCTCCAGGAGCCCGTCTCCGAGCAGGACGCGCAGGGTGATGCCGCGCCGGGTGAGCACGGCCCCCCGGGACCCCCCCGCGGGCCTCGCCCCGCTCCCGGCCTCTGCTTCGGCCTCCGCCTCGTCCAGCCCCGGCTCCAGCTCATCCTCGTCCTCCTCCAGAGCCTCATCCCCGCCGGGGGACGCGGCCGCCAGCGCTGCGGGGCGGGACGGGAGCGGAGCGCCTGGGGTCGGTGCCGAGAGCACCCCCGGGTGCCCCCCCCCGCCTGGGGACGGGGACGCTCGGGGCCGGGGCCGGGAGCAGGGGGGGGGCAGGAAGGGGACACAAAGGCACGGGGCAGGGGTGGGGATGGGGGGGGCCGAGCCCGCGGGGACGGGGCCAGAGCGCGCACGGGGCCGGGACGCGGGGATTTACGGGACGCGGGGACGCGCCCGCGGTGCCTCCGCGCGTGTTTGTGTTCTCCCCCCCCCGGGGGGGTCCCGCGTGCCCGCGCGTGTGAGCGTGCGCGGGTCACGCACGTGGGAGGGGGCGCGCGGGGACGCGCTCGCGCGCAGGTGCGTGCCCGGTGCGCGCGCCCGTACCTGCCATGCTCCGGTCCGCTCCCGGTGCGCGCGGCGGCCGCGGCGGCACGTGACTGGGCGGCCCCGCCCCGCCTCGGGAGGGGGGGGCACCGGGACACCGGGAATGGGGGGGGGAGCGGGACAGGGACGGCCCCGCACCGGGGAGGGGGGGGGGGCGCACACGGGGGCATAGCCCCGGAACCGCGGCCTCGCCCCCCCCGGACCGGCGGCACCTGCGGCTCCCGCGGGCGGAGCAGGCGCGACCGGTAACACCGCCCCCGGGACCGGCCCCGCCACCGCCTCGGTGCCACCGGAGGGGCCGGGCCGGGCTCACGCTCGCCGCTTATGGGGGGGGCTCCGGGATGGGAGCGGGAGCAGGAGCAGGAGCAGGGGATGCGGTCGGGCCTCATCCTGACCACGGCGGAGGGGTCCCGGTGTCCGCTCACCCCTTGAGTCACCGGCCACTGGGTGCGCTGGGGCCGTTCAGGGGGCTCCGTCCTCCCCGGCCATGGGGGGCACCGGGCCGGTGGCATCGCGGTGCTGGCCCCGCCGTGACCGGAGCCCCCCTGCAAGGGGCGCTGGAGGGGGTCCGGGAGCTGCTATGCTCCATCGAGGGCTGATGGGCACCAGCATGGGGGAGCCCGGCTGCCCCCCACTTTGTGCCCGGAACCAGGGGGGTGCCATGGGGCTGGGGCAGCTGGACCTCAAACCCATGGTGTTGGGGGACATCACCCCCCGCTCTGAGCAGCCTCATCCCCTCACATCACCCCAAGAGCCCCCTTTCCCCCCATTGTGCGGTGCCCCCCGGTCTGTGTTACACCATAAACATCCTGCTTTATTCTTCAGGCCAGAAGCAGCTCTCGCTGGTGGGGGGGACGTGCCCAGCGCGGGGGGGGGGCTCAGCCGGCGGGGCCATAGGGGCTGGTGCACCCCAGCTCTGGGCGCTGGCACAGGGCAGCGATGGGGGGTGTGGGGGGTACATTCAGTGCTCTTGCCTGGGGCACGGCTCTAGGGCAGGCTCTAGGGCAGGCTCTAGGGCAGGCTCTAGGGCAGGCTCTAGGGCAGGCTGGCGTTGGAGCTGCTGGCGGTGCTGCTGCGCTTCTGCAGGCACCGCACGGCGCTGGGCACCTGCAGCCCCGAGCTCACCTGGAAGCTGCCGCACCAGACCTGCGGGCACAGGAGGGGCAGGGATGGGGGGGGCTGCTCCCCACACCCCCTGCACCAGAGCCCTGCCGGTGCTGCCCCCCCCTCCCCGCACCGGAGCTCTGCCTGTGCTGCCCCTTACCGTGAAGGCGGGCAGCACCGGCTGCGTGAACTTGGTCCGGAACGTGTGGAGCAGCTGCTTGGTGCGGGCGTTGTAGAAGGACAGGATCCCTGCAGGCGGGAGCAGGGTGCGGGGGTGGCACAGGGCTCACAGACCCCCATGCAGTGCCCATGTCCCATTGAACCATGGAATGGTTTGGGATGAAGGGAGCTTAAAGCTCCTCCAAGGCCACAGCAGGGACCCCTTCCACTGGAGCAGCTTGCTCCAAGCCCCTGTGTCCAACCTGGCCTTGAGCACTGCCAGGGATGGGGCAGCCACAGCTTCTCTGGGCACCCTGTGCCAGCGCCTCAGCACCCCCACAGCTTCCCCCCTGCACCCGCCCCGGCCCTGCTCCGCCTGCAGCACCCCGGCCCCGCACCCACCTTCGGGGAAGTTGCAGTGGACGCCGATGCAGTCGGGCACGGGCACGTCCAGCACCTTGGCCTTGTTGGCGTGCTTGGCGCTGAAGCTGACCTGGAGCCAGTTGTTGAGGTGCAGGCACCACGAGGCCGAGGTCTTGCCCAGTTGGTCGAACTTGCCCAGGCTGCGGTAGGCGACCCCCACCCCGAAGGCTTTGCTGTCCCGGTCGAACTGCACCTCCCAGTAGTGGTCGTCAGCGTCGATCAGGGTGTCCCCTATGGGCACAGCTCGTGAGGGTACCCATGGGTGCCCCCTGCCCACCTCCAGCACCCCCTTGCGCCCTCAGGGTCCCCACCAGCACCCAGTGGTGCCCGCGGCGCTCACCCAGGACCGTGTAGGACTCGGCGGTGAAGCGATCCCGGCCCCCGCGTCCCAGGGACGTCCTCTTGGGTGACTGCACGGCCCTAGGAGAGGCAAGGCTGTGAGCAGCAGGGCCTGTGGGATCCTGCCCTCGGCTCAGCTCTGCTGGGACCCCCCTGCAGCCCTGTGTGCGGCGCTGGTGTCCCCAGCACCAGGCATGGAGCTGCTGGAGCAAGGCCAGAGGAGGCCATGAGGATGCTCAGGGCCTGGAGCAGCTCCTGCATGGAGCCAGGCTGAGAACACTGGGGCTGTTCAGCCTGGAGAGGAGAAGCTGAGTGGGGACCTCAGAGCAGCTCCAATGTCTGAAGGGGGCTACAAGGATGCTGGAGAGGGGCTCTGCATCAGGGACTGCAGCGACAGGACAAAGGGGGATGGGTTCAAACTGACACAGCAATGGTTCAGGTTGGAGATAAGGCAGAAGCTCTTCCCTGTGAGGGTGCTGAGGCGCTGGCACAGGGTGCCCAGAGAAGCTGTGGCTGCCCCATCCCTGGCAGTGCTCAAGGCCAGGTTGGACACAGGGGCTTGGAGCAAGCTGCTCCAGTGGAAGGGGTCCCTGCCCTGGCAGGGTTGGAATGGAGGAGTTGGGCCCAGGGCCGTTACCTGGCGGGGGAATTGGCCGGTGAAGCCGTCCTGCCCTTGCCGTCCTTGTCGCGCGCTTTCACGTCCTGCAGCTTCCCCCCCGTCGCGTCCCACTCGACGCTGAGCTCCTCCACGCGCAGGTTCTGGTGGCAGGTGCTGGCGTCCAGCCGGAACGTGAACGCTGCCGACGGCACCGTCAGCGCGCGGCCCCCGGGGCCCCGACCCGGGCCCCCCCCTCCAGCCCGGACCCACCTCTTGTCTCCAAGGTGACCGGCTCCGAGAACTCCCCCGCCACCGCCTTGTTGCAGGCCCGCACGCGGAAGTTCATGTACCTCATGTCGAACTTCATCCCTGCGGGACAGCGGGGCCGCACCGTGGGGCATGGGGGGCACCCTCACCGTGTCCCCTCCTGCCCCCAGCCCCTGCAGCCCCCTGCCCGCTCCCATCCTGGCACCCCTTGGGTGCTGCCCCCGTGCCCTCACTGGGGAGGGTGTACTCAGTGCTTCTGATGCCCTCGACCACCATCCAGGGCTGGTCCTCCTTGGCGCGGGGCGGCCCCTCGAAGTTGGTCCTGCGGTACTCCAGCACGTAGTGGTCGATCTTGGTGTCCTCCTCGGGCATCCTCCAGCTCAGCGTCACGCAGTTATCGGCCACCAGGGACTCGGCCAGGTCGATCTCGGGGGTGCTGGGCACTGCCCGCAGGAAGAGCCGTGCCAGTGGGGGCCCCCTGGGGCACCCCTGCATCCCATGGGCTCGGTAACACCATGCACAGCACCCCGGGGACCCCACATGGGCACCCCCAGGCACAGCATCCCATCCCTCCCATCCCTCCCACCCTGTGTAGCCCCTCGGGGCGGGCTGCCCCAGGCCTTGCACCCCCCCTCCAGCTCCTCACCCCGTCCCTTAGCACCCACCCTTAAACCCTGGACCCCATCCCAGCCCCGAGGAGCCCCCTTGCCCCCGCTGTGCCCGCTCCCCCCCATGTCCCTGCCCGCGGGCAGTACCTGGCAGGAAGGCGATGGCCTGGAGGATGCGGCGCTCCTGGGCGAAATCCACCATCAGGTGGCTCATGTTATCGCTGGCCTTGGCCTTGAGCGAGAGGCGGAAGGCGGGCGCCATCGTCACGCTGCAGCGGGACAACAGGGAGCAGGGTGAGGGGGGCCGGGAGCCGGGCACCCGCCCGCCCTGACCGCTCCCCCCCAGCACCCGTGGGGCACCCGCTGGGGGTCCCGGCTGGGAGGAGGGGGGCGGTTGGTGGGGCACGGGGGGGCCGTACCTATCCTTGATCTGCTTGGCAGCCTGGCGGGCGCAGGGAAAGAGGAGGGAGAAACAAAGCAGATGAGAGAGCAGAGCCAGGGGCCAGTGAGGGCAGCAGGCACGGACCCTGCGGCTGAGCTTGCCCGTGGTCCCACTGTGGTACCCAGCAGCACAGCACCCCTGCATCCCCACTGCACCCCTGCATCCCCACAGCATCGCTGCATCCCCACAGCATTGCTGGATCCCCATGCCATCACTGCATCCCAACAGCATCACAGCATCCCCACTGCACCCCTGCATCCCCACAGCATCACTGCATCCCCACGGCACCCCTGCATCCCCACTGCACCCCTGCATCCCCACAGCATCGCTGCATCCCCACTGCACCCCTGCATCCCCACAGCACCCCTGCATCCCCACAGCACCCCTGCATCCTCACTGCACCCCTGCATCCTCACTGCACCCCTGCATCCTCACTGCACCCCTGCATCCCCACAGCATTGCTGCCTCCCCACAGCATCCCTGCATTCCCACAGCACCCCTGCATCAGGAGGAAGGGAGCATCAGGCAGCTCTGGGACCACCCTAGGGGGTCCCCATGCACCCCCAGCCCCACAGCAGGCACAGCCACGCCAGTGTCACCCAGTGCCCAGCACAGAAAGAAGAGGAGGGCGCCTGCCCGGGGTGAGCACAGCATCAACCAGCGGGTAAAGGGGGGTCCAGGCCCCCTGCAGCACGGAGGTCACCGGATGGGGACATCCCCCTGCGCCGGTGGGGTTGTACCTGGTGGAACTCGTGGTCATTGGCCATCCCCAGGGTCTGGTTGGCGGCTTCCAGCAGCTCCTCCGAGCTCTCCAGGGCCTTGGTACACGCCGCAAGCTGGGCCTGGCACGGGGGGGGAGAGGGAAGTGACGGGTGAGGGTCGGGGTGGGGGCCCGCGGGGGGTGCTCACCTGCAGCTCGTAGGTGCGCTGGGCGCGCTCCTGCTTGATCTTGGTCACCATCTCCTCCTTGAGCTCGTCCAGCAGCACAAACAGCGACTGGAACTCTGCGTCCAGGTCCTCCTGCGCCCGCGTCGAGTTGTCCTGGGCACAGCGGGGGGGGGTCACCGGGTACCACCCTGCACTGGGCACGGGGAGGGCAGGGGGGCTCTGGTACCTGCACGTTCTGCATCATCTGCTTGAGGGAGTAGATGAAGTTCTGGATCTCCTCATTCTTCACGGCCAAGGTGGTGATGATCTTGCGGATGGACTCCTGCCCGGCCCCGCCACACGCGCTCAGGGGCAGGGTCCCCCCCGGCCCCAGGACATGGCGGGACCGGGATGACTTGGCAGTGTGGGGCTGAGGCAGAGCCAGGGGCAGCCCCGCGCCCTCCGCCAGCCTCCATCGCCAGCCTGCACCCCGCGGCCCCCCCCCTCACGCTCCCACCCCTCCTTCCTCCAGGCCTTCATCCCCTCCGGCCCCTCTTCCTCCTTCTCCATCCCTGTTCCACCTTCCTCCATCCCCTCCTCCTCCATCCCCTCCTCCTCCATCCCCTCGTCCTCCATCCCCTCGTCCTCCATCCCTCCTTCTCCACCCGTTTCCTTCCCCACCCCGTTCCTTCCTCCATCCCCTCTCCCCTCATCCCTCCATCCCCTCTTCCTCCATCCTTCCTTCATCCCTCCACCCCCCTCCCTCTTTCCTCCATCTCTCCATCCCCCTCCCTTCTTCCCTCCCTCCCCATCTCCCCCCCCCCATGCCCCCCATCCTCATCCCATCCCATCCCATCCCCATCCCATTCCCGCTCCCATCCCCACCTGCTCGCCCATCCCGGGCCGTCCCCGCCGCTCGGCCCCGCCGCCACCAACAAAGGGGGAGCGGCGCCCCCCGCCCCGCCCCGCTCTGCCCCGGCCGCGGGGCACGACGGGAGATGTAGTCCTGGCGCCGGGACCGCCCCGCTGCATGCTGGGAGATGTAGTCCATGGGCGGATGTGGGGGCTCTGGGTCCTCACCCCCCCCCCCCCGGTGGTCCCTCTCCCCCCATACCCTCTCCCCACCTCCCCTTGTACCCACTGCCCCAGACACAAGCATCGATGTGAACGCGGTGCCCCGGGCCCCCACGACGCTGCTGCCACCCCCAAGGAGATGCAGAACTGCACGGTCCAGGCAGGGCAGCACCGGGGATGGGGTCCCCCCACTGCCCCCGGCCCTGAGGGGCTCCGTCCCCCCCCAGCTCTGCCCTCCTGCACCCAAGGCAGGAGCCCTGCAGCCCCCATCGCCCCGCGCCGTGCCCTGTGCGCACTCACCCCGCAGCATCCCCTGGCCCCGCTGACCCAGCCCGGCCCGGCCCGGCCCGGCCCCTCTGGATGGGCCCTGTCGGGGGGGGCCTTCAAGGAACCGGCTCTGCGGCCCCGTGGGGACCACGCAGGAAGCGCCCGCTCCCCCCCAGCATGGACCTAGCAGCCCCCCCCATGCTTTGGTTCTGATGGGGGTGTCCCCGCAGTGCCCCACACGGGTCGTGGTGGTGATGGGGGGGGGGGTCCCGAGGCACCATCGAGGTGAGCACCAAGAGGGCCCAGCACAAACCATAGAGCAAGGGCTGGGTGTGCACTGGTTTTAATGGGGGGTCCCTATGGGGGCTCTGTGGTGCTCACAGGGGCTGCACCGCCACCGGGTAGCGCAGGGAGAGGTGGCGGGCGCCGCGCACCGGCAGGGCCCGCGCTGTGTAGTGCCGCACGGCAGCGGGCACCGAGGGGAAGGCGGCGCCGGCGCGGCCCAGCGTGAAGTGGTGCTCGCGTGTGCGCGTCAGCTTCACGTGCACGAAGCCGTGGCTGCTCCTGCGGGACGGGACGGGTGCAGTGAGTGACACGCAATGACATGCAATGACACGCAATGACATGACATGCAATGACACACAATAACACACGACACACAACGACTGACACGCAATGACACACAATGGCACACAATGACACACAATGACACGCAATGACACACAACGACAATGACAAGCAATGACACACAATGACATGCAATGATATGCAATGACAATGACACGCAGTGACATGCAATGACACTCAATGACACACAATGACACATGATATGAAATGACACTGATACACAATGACACACAATGACACGCAACGACACACAACGACACACAATGACACACAATGACATGCAGTAACACACAATGACACACAATGACATATGACACACAATGACATGCAATGATATGCAATGACAATGACATGCAGTGACACACAATGACACACAATGACATATGACACACAATGACACACCATGACACGCAATGACACGGGTGCAGCGCCGCGCTCACGGCTCCTCCACACGGGAGCCCCTCTGGGGCCATCCCCGTAGCCCCGGCCCCGCGCTCACCGCAGGGACAAGGAGTAGTCCTCGGGGCTGGTCTCGCAGTCCCGCACCAGGAAGCTCCCCTCCCGGCACAGCGCCAGCAGCGTCTCGGCGCCCGCCCGCCCGATGGGGCCGTGGTACCACCTGCACGGCCACGGCATCACCCCCTGCGCCATGGGCACCCTCTGTGCCGTGGGGAGCCAGCCCCACCGCATGGAGCCGTCAGGATCGACTGCCCCACAGAGCACCTTCTACACTGCAGAGACTGGGTACGGCGCGGCACAGCCAACCGTGCCAAAGGGACCGAGCACGCCATGGGGCACCCTGCACACCATGGGCACCCTGCACACCATGGGCACCCAGCCATCCCATGAGGCACCCTGCACATCATGGGCACCCAACCATCCCATGGGCACCCATCTATCCCATGGGGCACCCTGCACACCATGGGCACCCAGCCATCCCATGGGCACCCATCCATCCCATGAGGCACCCTGCACATCATGGGCACCCAACCATCCCATGGGCACCCATTCATCCCATGGGCACCCGTCCATCCCATGGTCACCTGTCCATCCCATGGGGAACCCTTCACACCATGGGCACCCATCCATCCATGGACACCCATCCATCCCATGGGCACCCATCCATCCCATGGACACCCATCCATCCCATGGACACCCATCCACCCCATGGACACCCATCTACCCCATGGGGCACCCATCCATCCCATGGACACCCATCCACCCCATGGGGCACCCATCCACCCCATGGACACCCATCCATCCCATGGGCACCCATCCACCCCATGGGTCCCCATCCACCCAACGGGGCACCCAGCATCTCGGGGCCCATCCATGGGGTCCCTGCATTCACACCGCGGTGCCCCATGGAGGAGGGACCCAGACTCACACTTGCTTCTCCAGTGGGAGGGAGGTGTCCACGTGCCGGGGGCTGGGGGGGCAGCCGGGGGCCGGGAGGGGCCGGGGGGGCCGCGGGAGCTGCCGGGACAGGCTGGGGGAGCGCTCGGGGCTCTCAAACTGCACTGGGGGGACAAGGAGGGTGTCAGCACCTACGGGTGCTGCCGCTGCGGGGCACCGCTCGCTCTCAGAGCACAAAGGAATGTTCTGGGTGGCCCCACTATGGCTTTGCCTTGCCATGGCCTCCTGTTGTTCCCAAGGGGTGGGACCCATGGGTGCTGGGGGACCCCGGGATGGTACCCATGGGTGCAGGGGGATGCCAGGGTGATATCCATTGGTGCTGGGAGATGCCAGAGTGGTACCCATGGGTGCAGAGGTCCCCCAGTGGTGGTACACATGGATGCAGGGATCTTCCCATGGTGGTACTCATGGGTGCAGTGGTCCCCCAATGGTGGTACCCACGGATGCAGTGGTCCCTCAGTGGTGGTACCCATGGATGCAGTGGTCCCCCAGTGGTGTTACCCATGGGTACAGGGGTCCCCCAGTGGTGTTACCCATGGATGCAGTGGTCCCCCAATGGTGGTACCCATGGATGCAGGGATCTCCCAGTGGTGTTACCCATGGGTTCAGGGACCCCCCCGTGGTGTTACCCATGGGTGCCGCGGTGCTGTCACCTGCGAACGCGCGGGAGATGTGGTCCTGCTTCCACTCCCAGGGCTGATCGTACTCATCGGCCGGGCGCTCGTCCCGGGGCAGGCGGCTCTCGCGGCTCCCCCCCGCGCCGGGGCCGTCCCCGGCCGCCTCCCACTCCTCACTGGGGGTGTCGTAGAGCTGCGGCCCCCGCCGGCCCCCTGGGGACAGGGGCGCTGGGACATAGGGGGGGCATCGGGGGGGGGGGGGTCCTGGGGAGGGTCGGGGGGGGCGGCACCCACCTGCAGCCTCCTCGCAGCTGCCCTCGGCCGCCGGCTCCTGCTCCCCCTCGCACGGCTCCGAGTACTCGCTCTCGCCGGGGCCCTGCGCGGTGCCCGCGGTGGGACGGGACCCACGACCCCCCCCCCCGGACCCCGGCACCGCCTCGGGCCCCTGCGGGCTCCCCCCGGCTCTGATCCCGCTGCTCCCGGTCCCAGCGCCTCCCTCCCGCTCCCTTTGTCCCCCGGCCCCTCTCCCGCTCCCCCCCCCGGGTCCCCCTTGCCGGGGTCTCCCCCCCCCCCGGTGCTCCCGGTTCCCTCCGCACCCCCCTCCTCCCCCCCCTACCTGCTCCGCTCTCCGGGGGGGCCCCGCTCCCGCCACCCGCACGAGCCGGTGCCGCGGGGAGGCCGCGGGGCCGCGGGGGGCAGCGCCGGGGGGCGCGGGGCCGGGGCCGCTGTAGTCGGGGTGGGGCGGGCGCGGGGGGGAGCGGCGCGCGCCCCGCCCCAGGTACTCCCGCAGCCACTTGGCCATGGCGGGACCGGGACCGGGACCGGGACCCCCCCCGCAGCCGCCGCCGCCGCCGCCCGGAGCCGCTTTGTGTCGCCGCCGCGCGCCGCGCGGACCGGAGCCCCCCGGCCCCCCCCCCCAGCCCCCAACCCCGCCTCGCTGGGGGGGGGGGAACCCACGGTGGGGGAGTGACGGGGGGGGAAGGGGAAGAGGTCATAGGGACCCCCCCGCAGGGGAGCGGGGATCCCCGGCCCCCCCCGGCCGCAGGAGCCCCCCCCGAGATCGGGGCACAGGGAAAAGGGGGAACACGGACACCCCCCTCCCAGGGTGACCCAGCCCCAAGGGCTCATATGGGGGCCCTGCCCTTTGGGGGAGCCCCATGGGCCGCACTGGGGGGCAGAAGGGTGCCCCCCCCATTGTCTCCCAGAACAAAGGTCCCCATCCAGGATCCGGGCCTGGCGCTGCCCCACGGGGGCACCGCGGGTGCTGCAGCCCTTGGGACGGGGGAAGGAGCTGCTCCCACTGCAGTGGGGTCCCCACAGGTGGGAGCCGCCCCGGAAGCTCCCCGGTGAGGATGAAGGAGCTGGCTCAGATGGATCCAGTTTATTACCAGGCTGCTGCTGAGCAGAGAAACCCCTCAGCCACATGGAGCTGCTGGGGCACAGAGAGCTCAGGGGAGGGGGGGACAGCCCTGACCCCCCCACAGTGCCCCCCAAACAGCACGAGGGATGCAGGCTCACCCTGCAATAGCAGGTCCTGAGCCCCACGGGGGGGGCAGGAGCCACCCAGGGCCTGAGACAGGGATCCTCCTGCAGCAACAGAGGGGCGCTGAGCACCCCCCTTCCCCTGCTCCCCACAGGGATGCAAGGCCCTGAGGTCCCTCTCCTGCTGCGGGCAGGTTGGTGCAGCAGCGCCTGGAGCAGGGGCCGAGGGCGTGGGTGCCACCAGAAGGGGCAAGCACAGAGTCCTGCACTGGCCCCGGTGCTTCCCAACCCATGGTGGTGCAGGGCTGGGCCCGGCCGGGAAGGGGCTGGGGGTGCCGATGGTCCGGGCCCCCGCTGGGCCCCCGCTGCGGTGCCAGCTCCTCCGGGGCTCTGGAACCAGGAGCAGCCGCCACCGGTGCCCCTCAGCAGTCACCGGCGCTGTCCTCGCTGTCCGAGTACATCCCCAGCAAGGTGAGGGAGGATGCGGTGGGGGCAGCCGAGCCTGGGGATAGAGCAGAGAGCATGGGGGGAGCCGAGCCTGGGGGCAGAGCAGAGAGCATGGGGGGAGCCCAGCCTGGGGACAGAGCAGAGCATGGGGGGAGCCCTCCCATGGCACAAACCTCATCCCCCGGCTGGAATCCACCCAGGACAGGGCTGAGCCGGGCTGAGAGAGACCCCAGGGCCCTGAGCCGGAGCCTCCTGCAGGGCAGGAAGCAGCAGGGGAGCCCCAGGGTTTGAGCGAACCCTCTTGTGCCTGAGCAGAGGCTGGGAAAGCCCAGGGAGGGCTCCTCCAGCACTGCCCTTCCTAGGAGCTCCCCGGAGGGACCTGGCGAGCCCAGAGCTGATCAATTCCTTGACTCTTTCCCTAAACCCATGGATCCTCTGGCTTCCCAGGACAGGCAGATGGTGGTGAGCTGCTGCAAAGCCTCCTTAAAGCTTCCAAACTCCAACGCTTTGGTACGTTTTATAATCAGGCCCCAAACCCAAGCCATGTTCTTGCTTCTGCATCCCTATCTCACTGTTGTGGCTGAGCCCAGCACCCTACGGGCTCACCAGGATGCTTGTTTGAAGCTTTTGGCCCTGAGGCTCTGTCTCCAAGGCCCTGGCTGACAGCCAAGGACAGGGAAGGAGCCTCTCCTCCATCAGGACATCTGGAGCCAGGGACACCCCCCCGATCTCACACCATTGTGGGCCCATCTGTCCCCAGCTCGCCCTGAGAGCACCGATGCTCTGAAGCCAGAGCTGAACACCACGTGCGTGCTGCAGGTCCCTCCCCGATGGCCCAGTTCAGGGCACCCCATCCCTGCACGGGCAGTTACCAGCGCTGGCCGCGGTCTCCTGGCTGCCTGTGCCATTTGCCAGGGCAGGACTTGGCTTCTGCCTCCTCACTGTCACCAGCCCGGCCAGCTGGGGCTTGCTGTTCAGTTTGCCCACGCTCCGCTCCCAGCTCTCAGTCTTCAGCTTCTTACTCTGGGGCTGGGGGTCCTGCAGAGTGGAACAGGGGGGTCAGGGGCCCTCGGAGGGGAAGGAGCGGTGAAACCAGCAGCACAAACAGCAGGAGCCATGGGACCGCTGCTCCAGCAGCCACGGGGGGTGTTCTGCCCACAGTGACTGGCACAGGCTACAGACACCGAGGATATGAATCCCAATGGCTGCAGAACAGCCCCTGGAGACAGAGGTCCCACTGCCTGGGAGAGCTGAATCCAGCCTTGTGTGGCCATGGGATGCTGAGGAGACGGAGCATAGAGCCATGAACAGTCTGAGGTGGGAGAGACCTTAAAGCTCCTCCAGCTCCAACCCCTGCCAGGGCAGGGACCCCTTCCACTGGAGCAGCTTGCTCCAAGCCCCATCCAACCCCCAGGGCTGCCCCCCCACAGCAGCACCATGGGCCTGCAGGTGGTCCTGCCACTGAATCAAAGCCCCCCTGGCCCAAGGATCAGTGCTGGGCTAGGGGACATGGCTCAGATTAACCCAGCCCAGCTCAGGGTCACAGCAGCTTTGATTCCCCCAACCCACGAGAGGTCCCAGACACGGCTCCACGCCACAGAGCAGCACTGCCGGGGCCTGTCTGCGGGGATAATCCCTCCCCTGCGAGCCAGGCACTGAAAGCTCTTTTGTTCTGCACGGCCTCAGCATGGACAAAACCGGAGCACAGGAGGGGCTGTCCCAGCGGAGGGGCGGGTGTTTCACTGCTGGGCTTTTCAGAGCACTGAAATGGGGCCTCGAGCAGGACCAAGGCAAAGGCGAGCCCGTCCTCTGCAAGCTGCCTGGACGTGGGGATGTGAAGGTCTTTCCCACCTACCCGATTCCCCGGCTCTATGATTCCGGGTGTATTTTCCCCTCAAGAAATGAAAGGGCTTCAGTATTTTCACCAATTTAGCTACTGAAAACTGTGCTGCTGATTGAGCTCCCTGTGGGGAATGTTATAAACTGCTGGAGCTGAAAGGGAAGCCACGTCCTGAGCGAGGTGGGGGCAGCTCCATCCCCGCCTCTGTCAGCAGACGTGGTCTAAAATCACCAACTGATCCCTGTCCCCTTCCAGCCCAGTGCACGGGGACACGGCCTTTGGGAGCTGCTCAAGCATGACACCGGGCTCCAGCACTGCACAGAGCAGGGACAGAGCAGGCAACAGAGCCCGGGACAGCGGGTTTGGGCTGGGGGAAGAGCCTCTGCCCCCACTCACCTCCTGCAGGATGTCTGTGGGGTTCATTCTGGCCTCAGGCTTCACGTGTGGCTTCGCAGGCTCCTCGTCAGAGTCGGAGTCCACCAGGAGCCGGCGGTTCTGTGCCTGCTCCAGCATCTCTCTGCAGGGACAGAGCCCCCCCGGGCTGAGAGCTGGGCCCGAGCTCCCTGCTCCCTGCTCGCTGTGCTGAGGGCAGCCGGCAGGCAGCGGCGCTGCCATGGGCAGCCTCACCCCATGCAGGAGCTCACTCCCCTTGTGAGGCCGCTTCCCAGAGGGGTGAGGCCTCCCCCATAACACTGCCCTGACAAACTGCCCCCATTCTCCTCCAGCCCGCTCAGGGTCACCGGCAGCCCCCGTGACCTCCAGCCCCTCAGGCAGGGCCCTCTCTGAGCTGCTCTCGGGGTGCACTCCCAGCCCACTCACCTGATCTCCTGCTCATCCTCCTCTTGCTCCCTGCGCTTCTGCTCCGCCTCCAGCTCCTTGTACTGCTTCAGCATGGCCTCGAAGTCCACGTTTGCCTGGCGCTGGTTGAGTTCCTTCAGCTCCTGCAGGTTCTCCAAAACCTCCATCTCCAGCTTCGAGTCCTTGGTGCGGTTCTCCAGGACCTGGGTGACCAGAGATGAATGGGATTATCTGAGCTAGAAGCAGCAGCCAGCACCACCTCTCCACCCAGTACAGGGCAGGAAGCCCTAAGGGGATCACCATCATCATCATCCTCATCCTCATTTTGGGGTCTTAACAGGACAGGAAAAACTGGGGCAAGATGTGGCCTGTTAAAAGTGCCAGCACAGGAGGAAACCTCCTGAGAGCAGAGTTGTGTCCTGCCTGTCCAGAGCACACCAATACCTCGGGAGCCTGAAGAACGAAGCCAATGGCTATAAACCCACCTGCTTTGCTCAGGTGCCCTCAGCTGGGGCAGAGGTCTATCACGTTCTCGTACCTTCATGGGATTGTTGAGCTCTTCCTCTTCCCTCTCCTTCTGCATTCTTTTCTCCTCTTCCTCCAAGAGCTTCTCAGCTTGGAAGTTGCGCGTGGCCCCATGCTCCATGGTGTAGTCCGTGTTCTCGGGGTCTGTCTAAGGAACACACCAGGAAGATCACCGGGGCCATCCTGTGGCCACTTGCGGAGCCACACGCACACAGTTCCCAGTGCCAGCCTCAGCACAGGGGCAGACAGTCACCCACAGCCCTCCTGTTTCTCCAGCCGCCGCTGCTGCAGCCCAGCCACCGATGGGAGAGACACTTCAGAGCCACAAACAGCCACAATAAGAGGAGAGAACCTGAAGAGCACATGCTCAGGGCCAGTCTTTGATGGGACAAGGTTAATTTCCTTGCTAGCAGTGCAGCGCTCTGCTTGGGCTTCAGCCTAACCCTGACAGCACACCCATATTGCAGGTAACCCCCAACAAGCACCCCTTCCCCACAGGGCCAGCACCCAGCAATGGCCACAGCCTGCACAACCTCCCCAGGGAGGGAGAGCACAGAAAACCCAGGCCACCTCTCACCTTGAAAGTGATCTCTGCCAGGCACCGCGTGCACTTGATGTAGAAGCGGAAGATGGGCAGCCCCAGGTACGCCTCATTCTGAACAGTCTCCTTACGGGCGTTGAACTTTTTCCCCTTATAGATGTATTCCCCACAGGTCTTGCAGCTGGGAAAGGAAAAGGAAAGGTTCATGACACAAACAGAAAGGGGAACAGACCAAGAAGAGTCCCATTTATTTCGGGCTTTCATCCTTTGGAAATGGAGCACACTTCAAACAAGCCCCCCCTATCCCCCAGCACCTCCTCCCTCTCTTTCACCCCCTTTCTCCTGCCCTGTGCCACCCCTCCGCTCCTCCGCACTGTATGAAGGGGAAACCAACCCTCAGCCAACTCCTCTCCCACCGCCACTTCCCGCTGCCCGGTGGAGCCGCTCGTACCGCATGTTGAAGGGGGCCATGAGCCGCACCACATACTGCCGGTCCTTCGGGAGCCGGAGCTTCGGGATCTTGGCAGGGTCGAAGTCCGGGGGGTAGTATTTCTACAGGGGCAGAGCACAGACGTGTGCGTGCGGGGCGCAGCGGCCCGGAGGAGCGGGAGCTGCAGCGGCCGGGCTCCCTGTTGCTGAATGCACCCGGAGGAGCCGCCGCGGTGCCGGATACCGGGTACCGGGTGCACGTCCTCCGCCCGCAGACCCGTCCATGGTTCTAGGACCCGACCCTCCTGCACCAGCGGAGGGGTCCTCACCCCAAACACCCGCTCCCGGCCTCAGATCCCCTTCAGGCCTCCCCGACCCACCCGGGACCCCAGAGCACCCCTGCTCTGAGGGCCAGCCTCACCCACAGACACCCCCAGCCCCACAGCGCCCCCCAAACCGGGGCGTCCCCCCCAACTCACGTTCAACACTTTCCGCTCCGACATAGCTGCGGTACCCGGTACAGCCGCCGCTGCCGCCTCTCACACCGATCGCCACTTCCGCGAAGAAGCCCCACCCCCCTCCGCCTCTCATTGGTGAGCGAGCCACGGGGTCTCTAACCCTCGTCTGTTATTGGCTGGCGCCGCTGCCGGGTGTGGTGCCCCGCACAGTGGAGTCCGCCGCGGCGGCGCGGCCCGCTCGGAGGTTCCGCCGGGGTTCAGCTCCTTCTGCCTCAGAGCTCAGCTCAGGCTCCCCTCGGGCAGGTTCAAGCCATTCCCCTTGGCCTGTCACTACAGGCCCTTGTCCCAAGCCCCTCTCCAGGTTTCCTGCAGCCCCTTTAGGCACTGGAGCTGCTCTCAGGTCTCCCCTTCAGGAGCCTTCTCTTCTCCAGGCTGCGCCATCTCAGCTCTCTCAGCCTGGCTCCAGAGCAGAGCTGCTCCAGCCCTCGCAGCAGCTCCGTGGCCTCCTCTGCACCCTCTCCATCAGCTCCACATCCCCCTAGTGTGGCTGCATCAGAGCTGGATCAGGGCTGCGGGGAGAACCCCCCGCCGCCAGGGGTCGCCCTCCCTTCTCGCCTCTATGGTCATGGAGCGTCCCTCCTCTGGAGGAGCTGTCCCAGCGTTCCGCGGGCGCTCCCTCTTTCCGGTGCGGCGCCATCTGCGGAGCGGGCCGTGAGCGGCGGGGCCGGGTTCGGGATCCGCGTCCATCGGCGGCGGCGCTGAGCGCTCCGTCCCGCAGCCATGGCGATCCGGTACCCCATGGCCGTGGGCCTCAACAAGGGCTACAAGGTGACCAAGAACGTGTCCAAGCCCCGGCAGTGCCGCCGCCGCGGGGTGAGTATGAGCCGGGCCCGGGCCTGCGCTGTTCCCGTGCCGCGGGGCTGGCGGGAGGGTCGAGCCCAGGTCCGCGGTACCGGACACCAGTGGTACCCGAACGGGCGAGGTGGTTCCATGGGGGGGCGGGTGTGGAGCTGCAGGGACTGGGGCAGCGGCAGCCGCAGGAAGGGGAGCTTGAGCGTTAAGCACGGGTTAAGTCACAGGAGGCGTTAAACCCGTGAGGGTGGGTGCGAGGCAGCCGGTACCGGCGGAGGAAGACGCCAGACGCATGCAGCCAAGATCAGTTATCCGAGGTCAGGGAATGCTCACAAAGAGGGAACTGCACCTGGCCGCTTTACCTGCTCTGATGAAACTGGTTAGACGTGGTGTTTGAATCCCACACTCCCAGGCTGGTTTGGGTTGGAAGGGGCCTTAAAGCTCCTCCAGTTCCAACCCCTGCCAGGGCAGGGACCCCTTCCACTGGAGCAGCTTGCTCCAAGCCTGTGTTCAACCTGGCCTTGAACACACCGGGGCCTCAGCCCAGTGTTTGCAGGATGCTTTGCTCTCCAGTCTGAGTCAGGCACCGCTGATGTTCTTGGATTCATGGATTTCTCCCGCAGCGCCTGACCAAACACACCAAGTTTGTGCGAGACATGATCAGGGAGGTCTGCGGCTTTGCGCCCTACGAGAGACGTGCCATGGAATTGCTGAAGGTTTCCAAGGATAAACGTGCTCTGAAGTTCATCAAGAAACGGGTAAGTCCAGCTGCCATCGTCAGAGTGGTTTGGGTTGGAAGGGAGCTTAAAGCTCCTCCAGTCCCAAGCCCTGCCACAGGCAGGGACCCCTTCTACTGGAGCAGCTTGCTCCAGGCCCCTGTGTCCAACCTGGCCTTGAGCACTGCCAGGGATGGGGCAGCCACAGCTTCTCTGGGCTGAGAAGAGTGCTGGGAATGCTCCTTGGGTTGGGTGGGAGATAGACACAAGGGTCCCAAGGCCCAGGAGTCTCACTTTGCCTTTGCTCTTTCTGCATCATTTGCAAATCTGGTGTTGGGAAGAGGAAGAAAAATCCTGGGGTAGAGGCTGGGAACCATTCACCAGCTTGGGGGTTCACTGAGGGCAGCTTTTACCTTGTCCCAAATAACTGAGTGCAGTGAGATGCAGTGGTGAGAAGTTCCTGACTGGGCAGGCCAGGCGAATGGGGGCTGAGCTTAGCAGAACTTTACCATTTGGAGTGAAGGAATGAAGGGCATTCATCTCCAGTGGATGTCTTGGGTAGCCTGGAAGCTGTGTCTGTTTCCTGCTGGAGTGATGCTGACTGCTCTGCTCTGCCCTCAGGTCGGCACTCACATCCGGGCTAAGCGGAAGCGGGAAGAGCTCAGCAATGTCCTGGCAGCCATGAGGAAAGCTGCTGCAAAGAAGGACTGAGTTCCACAACCTCTAACTCAATAAAGCCCTTTCTTAAAGAGGAGTGCAGTGACTGACAGTGGTGAGTCTGCTTCAGCCTGTCCAGGTCTGGCCTGGCTTTAGGCCTGGAGTTGTTTCTGGTGGTACTGATCCATGGTTTAGTGGGGAGAAACGTGTCCCTCAGCAGCTCAATCACGGACTCGGCTAGGCTGGAAACGAGATGAAGCCCAGCTGTCCTCCAGCACTGCCAAGGCCACCACTAACCCATGGCACTGAGGGCCTTGTCTGCATGGGCTGTGAACACTTCCAGGGACAGTGACTGCAGCACTGCCCTGGTAGGGAGCAGTAAGGTCACCCCTGAGCCTTCTCTTTTCCAGACTGAACCCTCAGCCCTTCCCCATCACCCCTGTGCTCCAGGCCCTGCACCAGCTCCACTGCCCTTCTGTGGTCCAACTCCAGCACCTCAGTGTCTCTCTTGCAGTGAGAGGCCCAGAACTGAACACAGGATTTGAGGTGCAGCCTCACCAGTGCCCAGTGCAGGAGCACAGTTACTGCCCTGGCCCTGCTGCCACACTGGTGCATACAGGCCAGGATGCTAATGGCTTCTTGGCTGCCTGAGCACACTGAATGCATGAGCTCTGCTGAACTGGCTCTTGGAATTTCAGTCTCCCCTTATAAGCCAAGACAGGGAGGGGTTTCTACAAGGCACTTCCACCAGCAGCACCTCAGGAGTGTGGTCTTTGTGAATCACAACCCCAAGCTCTGCTTGCAGTTACGTGTTTTTTCCCCATCAGCACTAATTAATTGCCTAGAGCAATGACTGAAAAAAATCTGTAATTAAAAAGAGACCAGAGCAGTGGTAGAAAGGCTCCAGGGCTGGTGGCTGAAAACATGGACATTCCTTATGTAAAATGTCACAGTTTATTGGAAACACGTAACTGGATCATCATTCCATAGTGAAGACAGAAATATTTTACTCTAGTAAAGCCATAATTCATTTCAGCAGCTGCTCAGCAGCAATAGCTCCATGTCCCACTTAGGTCACCCCAGTACTCGTTGGGGCTGAGCATTCAGGGACAAACCACCTTCCAGGCATGGGACTGTTGAACATCATCCTCCACCAGAATCCAGCTTAGAAAATGCTATATCAAATACCTCGTTGTAGTGCTCAACAAAATGCACTTCCAGTCCTTCTGTAATGAATCCAGCAAGGTCATAATAATCCTTCTTATTCTCTGATGGCAGAATGATGCAGGTGACACCCGCCCTCTTTGCCTGCGGGAGAACAAGGGGATGGAGGCTGTTGAGTCCTAGGAATCCATCCACCTCCTAGAAACACCCATTTTAGGCAGCAAGAACACAAACAGTTGTTCAGGAGCATGATCTGCCCTTACTCTGCAAGGGGATTCCTTACAGATGGCACTAAGGATGGATCATGTTCTACATCTCCCTTAGTTCCACCAGTCCAGTAACTGGATCACCACAGATGCTCTTGCAAGGCTGGGGTCCTGTCTCCTTCCTCACAGGCAGAGACAGCCCCCAAGATCCCCACGTCCCCCCAGCAGGTTTCTCCCAGTACAGCAGTGACCACTGGTTGTGACAGTCCCTGCAGAGCCCAGGGCACAGAGACAAGAGGAGAGCTCTCACCGCAATAGTTTTCTCCTTGATTCCACCAACAGGAAGAATTTTTCCAGTTAATGACACCTCTCCAGTCATGGCCACGTTCTGCCTCACTGGACAGTTCATGGCCAGTGATAGCAAAGCTGTCACTATGGTACACCCTGCACTTGGTCCATCCTTTGGTGTTGCTCCCTGGATAAAAGAGAGCAAATCATCACAACCTCCTGCCTTTAGCTCATTCATGTTTAGCAACACCAGCACAAACCAGAGCATGAATCCTTTGAAGCTTTTAGTAGGCGTAAGCCAACCATGAAAAACAAAGTACCAGAGGTGAGCAGCATGAGAGGGAGAGAGCATCAAGAGATGCAAACCAGGGAGGACAAAACTGAAAATCACTCAAGGCAGACGAGAACATTCACTTTAGAAAGCCCAATAAAATCTAGGCCTGAACTAGTGCCAGTCTGGATTTATCTGAGCTCAAACTCAGGCTGACAGGAATGCTGTCATGGGATCCAGAGGAAAATGCCTTTATCCCCCCTCCCAGGTTTTACTGCTAAAAGAGGGTATCCTGCCCCCAAATGAAGTGCTTCCCAGCTTCATGTCTAGGGGAGCAAGCCAGCCTGGCTGCTATGCATGCTCTGCTCTGTGTACTCTGCATCAGTTTACCTCGGGCACATGCAAGTGGATATGGGAAGACATGAGGAAGTCATTGTTGGGGTCCTTCTGCATCAGAAAGGCTCTTGCAAATGTGTAAGCTATCTTGGCACTCTCTTTCATTACGTCTCCCAGTTGCCCTGTTACTTCAAGGGACCCATCCTTGTTCTCCTTGTCTTTGGGTCGCCTCAGGGATGTTTCAACAAACAGAGTGGAACCTCCTAAAGAAAGACAAGACAAAACCAACATCCTGAGAAAAAGTTAAAAGGAAAAACGAGGTTTTAGTGATGCAGAAGCAGAGGCAGGGGTTTGGAACTGGGGCTCTCTGCTGAGACATCATTTCCCTCTTCAATTCCACCCACTGTTAGTTAGAGGACGCCGAGTCGTATACTGTAGTTCCCCAAGTTCCTAGGGAAGTAATGCAGGGAAGCCTCAGCCCTGCCTTAAGTCAGAATGGCACCTCCGGCTTTTAAGGGAGCAGACAAGGTCTTGTCCTCTCTAAACAGGCTTATGCCTTTAGTCATTGCTGTTCCTAATGTATGTGCTTCATATGGGATATGGAACATAAAGTGAAAATATGCTGGCCTGAGGCTAAAGTGAACCTGGGGAAAGGGAATAAGAAAGGGCCCCTTGTTCAGGGAAGAAGCAGTCAGGATCTAAAAGGCCACGAGTTAATGGTGCTGGCAGTTCACTGGCTTCAGTTTGACCATCACATTCCATCTGGAGATCATAAATGTAGACATTAACCCCCAAGTCATTTTGTCTCACCCATCGCTGTCCAGGCCAGACCCATCACCACTCCTGGAGGAGTGGTTTCATACATGCGATCCACGGTGAAGATGGGCTTGCCTACAAAGTCCTGCAGGTTCTCAGGTGTCACCTGCACGGTCTCTGCTTCTCCACTCACAATCTTATAGGCGGATTTCCTCAATACCTGGGCGAGACAGGGATTGCTTTCTGTAGGAGGAGCTGAGGAGGCTGAAGCACAGTGGTCACGGTGACACACAGCTGTCCCCTCACCTTTTCCACTTGCTTCTGCAGATTCCTCACCCCGCTCTCTCTGCAGTACTGCTTGATGAGAAGAGTCAGGACATCGGATGTGATTTGGGCTTTGTTTTCATCCAAGCCACACAGAACTCGTGCTTGAGGGACCAGGTACCTCTGAAAGAAATAATCCCCCGCATCCTTCCCTTAGTTGTTCTGACAAAAGCCTGACAGTTCCAATTCACCACTTCATTATGCTCAATGCCGTTTGCTGGAATCCGCAGCCCATGGAACACTGGAGTTCCTTTAACTGGGTGTTCCAATCAGAGGGGCCCTGTCCAAAATGCCACATGTCTGGGTTTTTCTGGACACAGCTGGATGTAACCATTTAAGCCTGAATCTGAATTATCAGATGTGATTAAACAGTGCATCAGTGGCTTCTCTTACCTCTGCAATTGCAAGTTTCTCTTCTGCCACGTATCCTGATACATTGATCACTTCCATTCTATCCCGCAGGGGCTCTGGAATGGTTTCTGTTACATTGGCAGTACAAATGAAAAGTACCTGGAAGCATTACAAGATCCTATTAAGCATTTTCATTAACCTGCTGCTTCACTCCAAGCAGCAGTCCTTCAGTTGTGGGTTTTTCTGTCTGAAAGGCTGGAGCACTCATGTCTCAATCCCGTCTAACTAAACCATCAGCATGTTTTCATGGACAGGAGAGCTCTGCAGTGATTCACATTCATACATTCCAGCTCCACAGCCTTTGCACAAGAGAGAAATACCTTTGATAGATCCACAGGAACATCAAGATAATGATCCAGGAAGTTGGAGTTCTGTTCTGGGTCCAAGAGCTCTAGGAGGGCTGAGGATGGATCCCCCTGATATCCTCTTCCTATTTTATCCACCTATGGGAGAAACACCTTGAAAGCTCCAGGAAGTTTTAGACCACAATAAACTCTCATGTGAAGATTCTTTCCTGGCTCCATCTGAAAACCTTCATGTGTCTGTTCAGAAACAGCCACTACCAGTCTGGCAGTTCTGGGGCATTCACCCAAGTCCCCACGAGGCCACTACGTGAGCACAACACACCTGAGGAGACACAGATTTTAAGGGTGGTGTAGAGA